TCTATAAATAGTATATTAAACAACCATGGTGACATTACACATCCCTGTCTAAGACCTACTTTTACTGAGAAGTAGTCTCCCTCTCTTCTACACACCCTAACCTGAGCCTCACTATCCTCATAAAAACTCTTTACAGCATTTAGTAACTTACCACCTATTCCATATACTTGCAACATATGCCACATTGCTCCCCTATCCACTCTATCATATGCCTTTGGGATATTAACAGTTTGGAGGGATATGTTGTGTATCTTCATACGTATATGCTTCTAAACTGTTGTGTTCTGAGCACTTCTGCAAAAACAGTGATTATGTGTGAGTGAGGTGAAAGTGTTGAATGATGATGAAAGTATTTTCTTTTTGGGGATTTTCTTTCTTTTTGGGTCACCCTGCCTCGGTGGGAGACGGCTGAATTGTTGAAAAAAAAAAAAATTATAATTAACTTTTGCTGGGGGCAAGGGGCTAGTAACCCCTTCTCCTGTATAAATTACTAAATTTAAAAAGAGAAACTTAAATTTTTCATTTTTTGGGCCACCCTGCCTTGGTGGGATATGGCTGGTTTGTTGAAAAAAAAAAATTATTTTACTTTTAGTGTATTACAATACTGTAGTACAATATTGTATGTATACAGTGGACCCCCGGTTAACGATGTTTTTTCACTCCAGAAGTATGTTCAGGTGCCAGTACTGACCGAATTTTTTCCCATAAGAAATATTGTGAAGTAGATTAGTCCATTTCAGACCCCCAAACATACACGTGCAAACGCACTTACATAAATACACTTACATAATTGGTCGCATTCGGAGGTAATCGTTATGCGGGGGTCCACTGTATACAGTTTTTAGAAAATTCTTTTGCCTAACATTGACTTATTTGTGTCTAAATTATTTAATTAAACAAATTAATCTCCCTTATTGTGTTTTCCTTCTCATGTACCGCTCTTCAACTTGTGTATAAGTTGCATATCTTGGGTGATAAGTTACTAGAGTGCTAGGAGGCTGATCATGATTAAAGATAACCTGGGTCACACAAGTCATCATGCAGTATTTATCTTGGTACTTGACTGCTATACTTTGTGTGTTGTGGTGTTTCTGAAGTGTCTTATCACCACATTACAATGACTTGGCTGCTTTCTCTTCCTTAATATGCATAAAGTGAGTGCTTCTGTCTCTTATGTGGTAACCAGTCTTCTTACTTGGCACAACTAGCAGTCTGTAAAAATTACTTTCAGTTGATTGACATGCCTTGTATGCTGTTTTATGAGTGAGTATGCTTTTTTATTAAGAAGAGTACTGAATGAACTTCTAAGTCTAAGTGGGGCATAAATAATGCAACTACCATGTTTTATCTTGCTTCTTTGTCGGCTAGATTTTTTTTAATTTACAAAATTCCTCTTCATGTAAAAGAGCCGCCATTCATAGTAGATTGTAATGGTGTGCTGTACTTTTTAGTTTTTGTACAATGAAAGAACAGCCATACACAACAGTGTATAACTGTATTATATTGTTACATTATTCTAAGGGGATTTTCTTCCTTCAGTTTGTCTTCAAGTATGATCTTTGTATAAGGCATCTTATTGTTTTGTTTTTATTTTTGTCATATTCATTCAGTCTTTTAGTATTATGAATATTACACTCTCCTGTTCATATTCTTCTGCCCATCTTGTAATCTAAGACCCACAGCAGGAGACACTTGCCCAGTTTCCTGATCAACCTTACTTAACCTCTCTTGTAATCAATAAGGAACATTTATTCATGTACAACATTTAATATTACAACCTGTTAATACATTCATTAAAAGGTTTCGAATGTGCAACACATGACACGACATAAACTTTTTCCTCTTGTTTATTAATTTTATTAATTTGTCAGACAGAAATTGTTTTCATCCTAGTCTTCTGTGCCAGTGAGCTGGTATAGAGTATGTGTGATAGAATATTTATTTTGGTTGATTTTGTTCTTACTCTGCTAAGTGCTGGAGATTAAGTTTATGGAGGCCTCTGAAGGATCCTGTGTCAGGATTAAACTGGTATGCTTTGCTGATTGAAAAGATTCTATACATAGTTTTTATTTTATAGATGAATTATGCTTATCTTTTAAAAATAGTTTTAAGAAATATATTCTAAAAGAGTGAGTGAGAGAGTGAGAGTGAGTGAGCAAGACAGTGAGAGTGAGACGGTGAGAGTGAGACGGTGAGAGTGAGACGGTGAGAGTGAGACGGTGAGAGTGAGACGGTGAGAGTGAGACGGTGAGAGTGAGAGACGGTGAGAGTGAGAGACGGTGAGAGTGAGAGACGGTGAGAGTGAGAGACGGTGAGAGTGAGAGGCGGTGAGAGTGAGAGGCGGTGAGAGTGAGAGGCGGTGAGAGTGAGAGGCGGTGAGAGTGAGAGGCGGTGAGAGTGAGAGGCGGTGAGAGTGAGAGGCGTGGTGAGGTGGAGAGAGGCGGTGAGAGTGAGAGGCGGTGAGAGTGAGAGGCGGTGAGAGTGAGAGGCGGTGAGAGTGAGAGGCGGTGAGAGTGAGAGGCGGTGAGAGTGAGAGGCGGTGAGAGTGAGAGGCGGTGAGAGTGAGAGGCGGTGAGAGTGAGAGGCGGTGAGAGTGGAGAGGCGGTGAGAGTGAGAGGCGGTGAGAGTGAGAGGCGGTGAGAGTGAGAGGCGGTGAGAGTGAGAGGCGGTGAGGAGTGAGAAGGCGGTTGAGAGTGAGAGGCGGTGAGAGTGAGAGGCGGTGAGAGTGAGAGGCGGTGAGAGTGAGAGGCGGTGAGAGTGAGAGGCGGTGAGAGTGAGAGGCGGTGAGAGTGAGAGGCGGTGAGAGTGAGAGGCGGTGGAGTGAGTGAGAGGCGGTGAGAGAGGGTGAGAGGCGGTGAGAGTGAGAGGCGGTGAGAGTGAGAGGCGGTGAGAGTGAGAGGCGGTGAGAGTGAGAGGCGGTGAGAGTGAGAGGCGGTGAGAGTGAGAGGCGGTGAGAGTGAGAGGCGGTGAGAGTGAGAGGCGGTGAGAGGAGGGGTGAGGTAGAGCGGTGAGAGTGAGAGGCGGTGAGAGTGAGAGGCGGTGAGAGTGAGAGGCGGTGAGAGTGAGAGGCGGTGAGAGTGAGAGAGAGAGAGGGTGAGAGAGAGAGAGGGTGAGACAGTGAGAGTGAGAGAGAGGGTGATACAGTGAGAGTGAGAGAGAGGGTGAGACAGTGAGAGTGAGGGTGAGACAGCAAGGGAGAGAGAGGGTGAGTCAGAGAGTGAGTGAGTGAGACGGTGAGTCAGAGAGTGAGTGAGTGAGACGGTGAGACAGCAAGAGAGAGAGAGAGAGAGAGAGAGAGAGGGTGAGACAGAGAAAGGGTGAGACAGAGAAAGGGTGAGACAGAGAGTGAGTGGGTGGGTGAGAGTGAATGTGTACTCGTCTAATTGTGGTTGCAGGGGTAGAGACTCAGCTCCTGGCCCCACCTCTTCACTGACCACTCCTGGGTCCTCCCTCTCCCTGCTCCATGAACTTTATCATACCTCGTCTTAAAACTGTGTATGGTTCCTGCCTCCACTACATCACTTGCCAGACTATTCCACTTCCTAACAACTCTGTGGCTGAAGAAATACTTTCTAACATCCCTTTGACTCATCTGAGTCTTTACCTTCCAATTGTGACCCCTTGTTTCTGTGTCCCATCTCTGGAACATCCTGTCTCTGTCCACCTTGTCCATTCCCTGCAGTATTTTGTATGTCATTATCATGTCTCCCCTGACCCTCCTGTCTTCCAGTGTCATCAGGCCGATTTCCCTCAACCTTTTTTTGTAGGACATTCTCCTGAGCTCCAGAACTAACCTTGTTGCAAACCTTTGCACTTTCTCTAATTTCTCGATGTGCTTGACAAGGTGTGGGTTCCAAACTGGTACTGCATACTCCAGTATGGGCCTGATGTACACAGTGTACAGTGTCTTGAACAATTCCTTACTAAGGTATTGGAATGCTATTCTCAGGTTTGCTAGGCTCCCATATGCTGCAGCAGTTATCTGGTTGTGTGCTTCCGGAGATATGCTCAGTGTTATGCTCACCCCAAGATCTTTCTCCTTGCGTGAGGTTTGCAGTCTTTAGCCACCTAGCAGATACTCTGTCTGTGGTCTTCTTTGCCCTTCCCCAATCTTCATGACTTTGCATTTGGCGGGGTTGAATTCGAGAAGCCAGTTGCTGGACCACGTGTTCAGCCTGTCCAGGTCTCTTTGTAGTACTGCCTGATCCTCATCTGATTTGATTCTCCTCATTAACTTCATATCACCTGCAAACAGGGACACTTCTGAGTCTATCCCTTCCATCATCTCATTCACATATACCAAAACTAGCACTGGTCCTCGGACCGACCCCTGTGGGACCCCGCTTGTCACAGGCACCCACTGTAATACCTCATCATGTACCATGACTCGTTGTTGCCTTCCTGTCAGGTATTCTCTGATCCATTGTAGTGCCCTTCCTGTTATACATGCCTGATCCTCCAGCTTCTGCACTAATCTCTGGTGAGGAACTGTCGAAGGCCTTCCTGCTGTCCAGGAAAATGCAATCGACCCACCCCTCTCTCTCATGTCTTACTTCTGTTACTTTGTCATAAAACTCCAGAAGGTTTGTGACACAGGATTTGCCCTCCATGAATCTGTGCTGGTTGTCATTTATAATCTTGTTCCATTCCAGGTGCTTCACCACTCTCCTGATAATCTTCTCCATGACTTTGCATACTATACACGTCAGTGACACTGGTCTGTAATTTAGGGCCTCATTGCTGTCTCCTTTCTTAATAATGGGGACTACATTTGCCGTCTTCCATATCTGTGTGTGTGTGTGTGTGTGTGTGTGTGTGTGTGTGTGTGTGTGTGTGTGTGTGTATACGTGTGTATACGTGTGTGCAAATGTAGGCTGCATTGCATTTGTCATACACTTAATACAATAGTGATGGCTTATGAATGGACTCTTGAGAATTTTCAGAATCATACACATTAGGGATGTCGTAATTGACTCACATGTGCACTTGTGCGATTGCAGGTCCCATGATGATAATTGTGCAGAAAGTTACAGCTCTGGCCTACAGCCTACATGATGGACTGTCTGGGCTAAAAGATGAGAAGCTTACACCATTTCAGCGTCAGTTTGTCCTAAGGTTAGCAGTATCTTCAGTTCTCATGATACCATCATTATGATTTTAGTTTTCTAAGTTGTTGTAGCTCATAAAGTTCATAGTGAAATAATAATGGTAGAATTACTGACAGTATGTTAAGTAAAAGGACACGTGTAAGTAATGTGACGTTTTATTGTGGTAACATTTCACTCGCCAGGAGCCTCATCAAGCTGTTACCAGATTGTCAAAGCTCCTGAAGAGCAAAACATTGCCACAATAAAATATCACATTAGTTGCACATGTGTTGTTTTATCTAACAAAGTTCATAGTGTATTTTGTTGATAAGAGAAAATGTAGATGCACTTATCAAGTTCTTAGCCAACTTAGTAAAATTGTTTGTACCTGTATATACTGAAACAGTCTATGAATGTTTTGTAAAAGAATAAATTAATTTATTCTTTTAAGTGAAAACAAAGTTTTAATAGATTTCAGTTGGTTTAAAACAACCTGGTATATTTTGGATTCGGCTGTTGATCTGGTTGTCTGTTGTGTAGTGTGTTATGTTAATTTAATATTAACATGTGTGTTATGTTATTTTAATATTAACATCTTAAAATTCTAGCTAAACAAAATTAGTGAATTTCTTGACAGTATGCAATTTGGTATTATAAGTTGACGCTGATAAATAAGGTGACTGTTGTCAGGGTAAGATTGATATTGCAGGTACTGCTCTGCCTTGCAGAATCAATAAGATATGATGGCTTGTGATTCATTGCAAGTGGATGACCATAGGGTTTTAAAAGTTTTGGGAACATTCCCATGCAGACTTCAAACACAGGAAAGGAGAAAGTGAAGAGTATTGTGATATTGATAAAGAGAATGGGGGTCCTTGATAAAGGTGAAACAAGAATATGTAGTCCTTCTTAACTTGGTTGTTTAAGGTGAGACATGGTCATGGAGTGAGTCATTAATGTTCAGGTCGCTGAAATTATTTTTTAAATAGAATATATATTGGAAAGTATATATATGTGGGGAATTAGGAGAAAACATGAAATATGGTGTGTGTGTGAAGCCATAAGACAGTTGAGAAATACTTCTTGGTGGTTATGAGATGTTTAGAGAGTGACGTCTGACAGGAATAGAGGGAGAATAGCAAAGCACAAAAGGCAAGAGTAATGGTTACATATCATATATTCAGGAAGAGTATATGAGAAAAATATGTACAGTATACTTTTGTGGAAAGATAAACAGGCAAGATTACATAAAATTGTAAGATGTTTGATCAATCCTGAACCATTATTAACCCTTTCAGGGTCCAGAGGCCAAATTTCAAAGTCTGCACCAGGGTCCAAGAATTTTCAAAAAATAATTGTTATTTTTTCTTGTGAAATGGTAGAGAATCTTTTTCTTAAGGTAATAAAACAAAAAGTACAAAATTTGATGGAAAATTGACGAAATTATGATCTCGTGATTTTGATGTGTCAGCGATATTTACGCATCGGCAATTTTGCGGACTTTGACTCTCATTTTAGGCCAATTACATTATTCCAATCGACCAAATTCTTAGCTATTTCACTAGTATTACTTCTATCGATTGAGCATGAGAAATTGCCAAGTCAACAGTTTTAACTACAAAATAGTGATTCGAAATTGGTAATTAGGCCAATTTAATGCAAAGTTCAAAATATTCCAATTTCAAAGTAGGGTTCAGGATAAACAATGCAGGCATCCCTGGCGCTAAACTAACATTTCCTCTGATCATTAGTTACGTTTTCAGGCTTTACAAACGAATTCCATTTTTATTTTTTATTCACATAATGAGTTTTTATTCAAACCAAAAAATAGAAGATTTACTGTTATGCAATATTGTAATAATTGTGTAAATAATATCACCACATTTGTGAACGTATATTAGACCCACCAGCTGGCGTGTATTAGACGTGCGAGGTTATTTGTTTACTCTTGAACATTGGCAAAAATTTAACATTTCTGTTACTTTGAGCTCAGGTTCAAGACATTTCCAGTACTAAACCCAATCAAAATCACCTCTATTTCTGTAGTATCTATCAAATGAGACCAAGATATCGCAAATACAACTATAAAAAACATACGAAAAAACACTGCAAATTTGCTGTTTTAATCGAAAATTATGGTCTGTCTTTTTTCTCTCATTATGCACTGAGTGCTGCAGGATTTGTTTTATGTGGTGCACACATACCACATAGGTGTGTTCTCTCATATCTAGGCCAAAATTTACCGCTCACAGCTTATCAGAGTGAGCTGAGCTCATGGCGTAGATCTACGGTTTGGACCCTCAACATAAAGCAGTAGATCTATGGCACGGACCCTGAAAGAGTTAAGTTACCTGTGGCTCATTGATGGCTTCAGGATAGACAGAAACTTCAGCCAATTTTCTTATACAGTTATTGTTAGTTGTGAATTGTTGCAGCCAGAGTATTAAGACATTCTTCACATACCCTTCATATAAGCATTTGCACTTGTGTAGCTAAAACATCAGAGAAACTTAGTAGAGAAGAGAGAATTAAACAACGAGACTAACAATACATTAATCGATAAATAATTTAGTTTCATATGAGCATGATCTTCTATATCTTAACCTACTGTCTTATTAAACTTAAAAATTAGTCATATATAGGTGATTAATTTGCAAATTAAAAAAATATAGGAGGTACAAGTTAGTACCATGCAGAGGATAATACAGTGGTACCTCGAGTTACGAATTTAATTTGTAACTCGAGTACCGATATTGAACAAATTTGTTCCCATAAGGAGTAATGTAGGTTAGATTAGTCAATTTCATACCCCCAAAAATACACTTACAAAAGCACTTATAAAAATACACTTACATAATTGTTCGAGTTGGGAGCTGTACAAAACTCAGGGTACCACTTTAGGTTTAGGGGATTAAAGAAAGTCTTCATATGGCTCGATTGCTGCTGTTGTATTGTGTCTGGGAAAACATTTTAATATATGTAAAAGATTTCCCAGAAACAAAAATATCTAAAACAGAAAAACAGAATGATTATAAAATGAAAATAGATAACTTATTTGGTGTGAAGAATGGATGGTGGATTTTAATGTGAATAAGTGTAGTGAGAGAGATGGGTGAAAGTGAAAACACTCTCCATGATAATTACAGGTAGTTATTTCATCTTAAGAATATCAGATAATAAGAGGTATCTCCAGTCATTATAAATGCACAGTTCTCGCCTCAAATTCACATTAATGCACTTTTAAACATGTTATATTCAATATTATCTAATTTAAATGTGGCTTTTATTTATCAAAAGGAAGGTAGGTTACAGATCTTTTTAAAATTTGATGTTGTGTTAGACCATTTGAAAGGGAAGTATTTTATAGCTAGTTTTACTATTGGTGTGCTGCTTCACTACTTTGGGAGTTATATAATCCATCTCTTAATTATACAAAAATCATATGAATTACAAAAAAGTGAAAATGCAGACTGAGGTTGTAGTCTAGCTCATTATGCTGGTGCAGTGAAATTATATTTCATATCATCAAACTCTAATTCTAATTTAGTTTTGCATCCAGATCAGCATAAGTTACATAAACAGGACATAACTTGGTTCTAGTTCTAGTTCACTGGTATGATCTTCGCATGAATCTACGTACATCTCTAGAAGATGTTCAATTATACATATAAGATGGCACAACCCATAACCTGTCCCCCACCCCTTCCCATCCCTCGGCTTAGGCAAGTGGTCTAGAGATTTAACAATTGGTTATTCCATTTTTGGGCTAAATTACGGCATTTATGGATTTGGAAAAGGCGTATGACAGGGTGGATAGGGGGGCAATGTGGCAGATGTTGCAAGTGTATGGTGTAGGAGGTAGGTTACTGAAAGCAGTGAAGAGTTTTTACGAGGATAGTGAGGCTCAAGTTAGAGTATGTAGGAAAGAGGGAAATTTTTTCCCAGTAAAAGTAGGCCTTAGACAAGGATGTGTGATGTCACCGTGGTTGTTTAATATATTTATAGATGGGGTTGTAAGAGAAGTAAATGCGAGGGTCTTGGCAAGAGGCGTGGAGTTAAAAGATAAAGAATCACACACAAAGTGGGAGTTGTCACAGCTGCTCTTTGCTGATGACACTGTGCTCTTGGGAGATTCTGAAGAGAAGTTGCAGAGATTGGTGGATGAATTTGGTAGGGTGTGCAAAAGAAGAAAATTAAAGGTGAATACAGGAAAGAGTAAGGTTATGAGGATAACAAAAAGATTAGGTGATGAAAGATTGAATATCAGATTGGAGGGAGAGAGTATGGAGGAGGTGAACGTATTCAGATATTTGGGAGTGGACGTGTCAGCGGATGGGTCTATGAAAGATGAGGTGAATCATAGAATTGATGAGGGAAAAAGAGTGAGTGGTGCACTTAGGAGTCTGTGGAGACAAAGAACTTTGTCCTTGGAGGCAAAGAGGGGAATGTATGAGAGTATAGTTTTACCAACGCTCTTATATGGGTGTGAAGCGTGGGTGATGAATGTTGCAGCGAGGAGAAGGCTGGAGGCAGTGGAGATGTCATGTCTGAGGGCAATGTGTGGTGTGAATATAATGCAGAGAATTCGTAGTTTGGAAGTTAGGAGGAGGTGCGGGATTACCAAAACTGTTGTCCAGAGGGCTGAGGAAGGGTTGTTGAGGTGGTTCGGACATGTAGAGAGAATGGAGCGAAACAGAATGACTTCAAGAGTGTATCAGTCTGTAGTGGAAGGAAGGCGGGGTAGGGGTCGGCCTAGGAAGGGTTGGAGGGAGGGGGTAAAGGAGGTTTTGTGTGCGAGGGGCTTGGACTTCCAGCAGGCATGCGTGAGCGTGTTTGATAGGAGTGAATGGAGACAAATGGTTTTTAATACTTGACGTGCAAAGTAACATTTATGAAGGGATTCAGGGAAACCGGCAGGCCGGACTTGAGTCCTGGAGATGGGAAGTACAGTGCCTGCACTCTGAAGGAGGGGTGTTAATGTTGCAGTTTAAAAACGGTAGTGTAAAGCACCCTTCTGGCAAGACAGTGATGGAGTGAATGATGGTGAAAGTTTTTCTTTTTCGGGCCACCCTGCCTTGGTGGGAATCGGCCGGTGTGATAATAAAAAAAAAAAAAAATAAATTGCATTCAGCCATAGCAGGAAGATACATCCCAAGACACTGGGCATGCTGGGCACATAATTATAGTTATAGGGGTTAACATGTTCCTCACTACCCTAGCAGGTACTAGAAGACACAAGAGTTTAAATAACATGAAAGTACTGTATCTAAAACATTATGGTTATCAAACTACAAGAAGATCAAAGTTTATTACTCGTAAGAAATATAAATTACAGAATGAAATGAGAATGAAATTGCTTAACTTGCCTTAACTGCAAAATAAAGCAGTTTGTAATAAAGTTGGTGTCCTTTTACTTAAAATAAAACAGGGGATATGTTAGCATCTTATAGACTCAGGGAAGGTATGTTAAAACATGGTTGTGAAAATAGGCTACAATTAGTAACAGGGAGGACAAGTAGATTGTCTAATTAAATCAGAAGTCGGTAATATTTCTTAATCAATAGCATACAGAACGAATTTGATGATTGGAACATAATTTTTTTTATAATGAAATACATATGTACACAGTACGACACAAAAGGAGCATAACTTTCTTCCAACCAATACAAATATAGTGCCATAGGTTATTACAAATATTGAAGCTAATTTCTTTCATGTGCACATGGAAAGTGATATACTGTACTAGCTACTAAAGGACATTTTTAAACTCTAAAAAATTCCTAATATTTGTATATACGTATTGTACTGTATATACACGTACAATAGAATACTTTGCTGCATCAGTGGATATGCCCAATTTTACAATTAGATAAAAGTCTCTCTCTATAAGTAGCAAACAAAGGATTGAACCTTCGGTACTCTTTGCTGAATGACCTAACAGTTCACAAAGTATAATACAGTGGACCCCCGCATAACGATTACCTCCGAATGCGACCAATTATGTAAGTGTATTTATGTAAGTGCGTTTGTACGTGTATGTTTGGGGGTCTGAAAGGAATAATCTACTTCACAATATTCCTTATGGGAATAAATTCGGTCAGTACTGGCACCTGAACATACTTATGGAGTGAAAAAATATCGTTAACCGGGGGTCCACTGTACTTAGTAATAATAATAATACATAATAATTCGTAGCAAACAAGAAGAAATAATCATGGATAGTATTGTCATGTTGTGTACTGATTATGAAGAAGAGGGAAACTTATTTGCACTTACTATTTACTAATACTAATTACTCTAAGACTGTAGGGTAGTATATTTAGCAATATGATGTTATTGATAGTGGTGAGTTTGAAAACGAAGCAAGCATTGAAACTGTATATCACACTCAGGACTTGTCCATGTACTTAACAGAAAGAAGCCCACTGCAATAGAGTACTTCGGCTACGTGCTAAATTTCCATTCACTCCTTGCTGGTCCGTTCTTCATGTTTGCCGACTATCAGGATTTTGTTGAGGGGACCAATTATAGGAAGCGAGCTCTCGAAACCTCGACAGCAATAGTAAGCACCTTCACAAGTATTTTGGCAGAGAACATTTTCAGTAGGTAATAAACCATTCAGCAAGAGCTGGTCATGCACACTCTTTCCCTTCTTAAATTATTCAGTTCACAGCATCCCTTAGGAGATCTCAGGGATTTTAAATCTTCTTGTTATTCTTCTCACTAATAACTCTTTTCTTAAACTCTGACTTTCAGTATTTTCCTGCTTCATTTTTTTCCATATGCAGCACTGCATGTGTGCTCAGGGAACAACTATTCTGCACATTCTTGTCAGTTTACGTGAGTGGCTCATGCTGCTTGTGCACTTGTGGGAATCTCTCGTTCTATTCTCATTCATGTGGGTCAGTGGATGCATAAGAACATAAAGGAGGAACACTGTAGAAGGCCTCTTGGTCTATACTAGGCAAGTCAATCTCAAGACAAAACATACTAAAAAAAAATATACCTAACCCATTTTCAGTGGATTGTAACTTCTACAGGAAGATTAGTAAACCAATAAGTATTTTCTTTTAAAAATTTAAGATGGTAGAATGTTTGGGGTAAGACTAATCTAAATTATATGAAGATATACAGTAAACTCTCTCATAATGCATGGGTTACATTCCTGAAAATTGGAAATGTTATAAAAAAAAAATTGCATGAAAAAATGAACATATTGAAAAAATAAGTTATGTTGTAAACACTTCTAAATTTGTCAATAAAGTTTTTTGTTTACTATTACACTAAGGTAAAAATTACTACAGTATGACTTTCCACACATTACTTGAAGCATGTCAAGAGTACGAGGAGGGTTAATGTGGGCCTGTTAGGCGTCGGTCTGGAGTTTTACGACATGCTAGCCGCGAGTTCAATCCCTGCCCGTACTGTGGCCTATTAAGCTAAGTTGGAGATAGTAGAGTTTGTAAGCTGACACACACTGAGTACATTTCAGTATCATAAAAAAAGCCACATTTCCTTGCTAAATTGCACCAAACAGGAACTTGTCACTTTCTTCTTTCAACGTACCGGCCGTATCCCACCGAGGTGGGGTGGCCCAAAAGGAAAAACGAAAGTTTCTCCTTTCAAATTTAGTAATATATACAGAAGGGGTTACTAGCCCCTTGCTCCCGGCATTTTAGTCACCTCTTATGACACGCATGGCTTACGGAGGAAGAATTCTGTTCCACTTCACCATGGACATAAGAGGAAATAAACAAGAACAAGAACTAGAAAGAAAATAGAAAACCCAGAGGGATGTGTATATATGTACATGTATATGTATATGCTTGTACATGTATGTGTAGTTTGACCTAAGTGTAAGTAGAAGTAGCAAGATGTACCTGAAATCTTACATGTTTGAGACAGAAAAAAGACATCAGCAATCCTACCAGCATGTAAAACAATTACAGGTTTCCGTTTTACTCACTTGGCAGGACGGTAGTACCTCCCTGGGCGGAACTTGTCACATCTACACCAAACAAACCTATAATAAAGATGAATGCATTGGAAAGTACAGTAATAACAAAAAAAAATGTAATAACACTTGTAAAATGGTGTGGGAAGCTGTCCCCCACTTGAAATAAATAAATCTAATGCAGGCTCAGTGATGATGCATCTGCTAATAAATTTAGTGTAGCAGTTGGTAACATTGACTGGCTGAGAGAATGTGACAGTCAAAACATTAACTTATGTCCACATATTCCTACAAAGAATAACAAACTTCTACAGTAAACATTGTTCTTTAAATTGAAAACCAAACAGATCACAACAGAGTTTGACTGGAGCATGAGTAAGCAGTAGCATCCTCAGATACCTTGACAAATAGCCCAGCTATGAAAAGCAATACAGTTGGGGGCTTAATATCCAAAGAACTAGCAAAACAATAAACAGTTGTATATATGATAATAGGTTCAATGAAACAAAAGGAGAAGTAAATAAAAGGATACCAGTGAGAGGCCTCTTGATCCAAGGAACTGGACATTTTACCTTTGGATTGAACCTGAAATCCTATAAACTAGTATTATTAATGTTAAGAAAGCTGCATCTCCACTATTATCTTTCACAAACAAGTTATCAAGGGTTATGCCACTCCACAAAAGTGGAGACCTAACAGAAATAAACTACAGGCCAATTTCTAACTTGCCATTATTATCTAAAAAAAAAATTAAAAATTATATTACAAAAATGTATACATACATAACTAAACAATGTTGTTTTCCTTGCTAGTTTGATTTTCTCTCAAAAAATATGAATGATCCAACAATAAAAATTCTTGACATAATCTATTATTTTTTAATAAACCTGGCATCTCCCATCAAGGTAGGGTGACCAAATGAGAGAGGAAAAAAAAAATTCACCATCACTCGTTCACTGTCTTCTTAGAAGCATGCTGACATTAAGGTTCAGGTGCCCTCTGAACTGCAACATCCTCACTCCTTCAAAATGTAGGCACTGTACTTCCCACCTCCTGGATGTATGTCAAATCTTTATCCAGTATGTTCACACTCACATATTGGATTCTTAAACCCATACCACTTTAAAACTCCTTCACACCCTCCCTCCAGCCCTTCCTGGGATGACCCCCATCCCTCTTTCCACTCTGGATTTATATACTTTCTTGGCTATCTTATTCTGCTTCATTCTCTGAATGTCCAAACCTCCTCAACAATCTTCGCTACTCTCTGAACATAACTTTTTTAAACCACACACCATCTTCTAATTTTTACACTCTGAATTCTTTGCGTAATGTCCACACCACACATTGCTCTCATATATGATGTCTTCACTCCTTCTATCTTCCTCTTTATTTCAGTGTTTATTTTTGTGATTTATTAACCCTTAAACTGTCCAAACATAGATCTACGTTTTTTCAACATTTGAAAGTATGTAAAAAACGTAGATCTTCTTTTTGTTTTTTTACATTTGAAAACGTGTAAAAAAAACTTTGATCTACGTTTTTTTTGTTATATTTGAAAATATGTAAAAAAAACATAGATCTACTTTTGGAGCACTACGCATGTGAACATAGATCTGTTTGGACAGTTTAAGGGTTAAATTAGCAGTTGACTGATCAGTGCATGGTGATTGGCTCTAAATTACAGAAGGACCCAACTTACAAGAGCTGCATTCCTAGTGTAGAGCTTACTGTGTAAAAAATATTAGTACAGAGGATGGTTAGGTTTCATGTATGTTTGTACTGAATATTGATAGTTGTAAAAATATAATTGGTTCTTAAGTGCCCTATTCAAAAGGGCAGAAATGTTTTACCTGGGATGAATGTTATAAATTGGTGAATAATGATGGCATATCCATGGAATATTGTGTATATGCTGCATACAGTATAGACCAAATATGAGTAGGTTTGTATTCTTTATTTTTCTTCCAGAATTCGCTTGACAGCAACAGGAATAAAAGTCCAACAGGCATAAAAGTCATGGACACTCCAAAGACAGCCTCTAAGCCTGAGGATGAGCCTAACCCTATCAGTGTGTCCCTCTACAAGGCTGGCTTCTCTGCTATCTGTGCTGTTGTTACTGTTTGTATTCTGCCCAAATTCCCTGTCTCCTATCTCACAGGTAAAACTGCTCACAAGTTCTCAAAACAATAACCTATTATGCCTGTCACTCTCAGCAGGGGTAAAAGTAATATAGTGTAGATTTGTACAGCTTAGTAGTTATGTTCCTGAAAGTAATAGTGTACTAATAATCTTGTTCATTTATTTTTTTTATTAATACATCGGCCGATTCCCACCAAGGTAGGGTGGTCCGAAAAAGGAAAACTTTCATTATCATTCACTCCATCACTGTCTTGCCAGAGGCATGCTTACATTACAGTTATAAAACTGCAACATAAACACCCCTCCTTCAGAGTACAGACACTGTACTTCCCATCTCCAGGACTTAGGTCCAGCCTGCAAGTTTCCCTGAATCCCTTCATAAATATTACCCTGCTCACACTTCAACAGCACATCAAGTCCTAAAAACTGTTTGTCTTCGTTCACTCCTATCTAACATGCTCATGCATGCTTGCTGGAAGTCCAAGCCCCTTGCACACCAAACCTCCTTTACCCTCTCCCTCCAACCTTTCCTAGGCCAACCTCTACCCTGTCTTCCCTCTACTACAGATTTATACACTGTCAAAGTCATTCTATTTCCTTCCCTCCTCTCTACATGTCCGAATCACCTCAACAACCCCTCCTCAGCCCTCTGGATAATAGTTTTAGTAATCCTGCACTTCCTCCTAATTTCCAAACTACGAATTCTCTGCATTATTTTCACACCAGACATTGCCCTCAGACATGACATTTCCACTGCCTCCAGCCTTCTCCTTGTTGCATCATTCACCACCCATGCTTCTCATCCATACAAGAGCATTGGTATAACTAAACTCTCATACATTCCCCTCTTTGCTTCCATGGATAAAGTTCTTTGTCTCCACAGACTCCTCAGTGCACCACTCGCCTTTTTCCTCTCGTCAGTTATCTGATTCACCTCGTCTTTCATAGACCCTTCTACTGACATGTCCACTCCTAAATATCTGAATACATTCACCTCCCCCATACTCTCTCCCTCCAATCTGATATCCAATCTTTAGTTACCTAATGTTTTTGGTTTTCCTCATCACCTTACTCTTTCCTATATTCACTTTTAATTTTCGTCTTTTACATACCGTACCAAACTCATCCACCAACCTCTGTAACTTCTTTTCAGAATCTCCCAAAAGCACAGTGTCATTAGCAAAGAGCAACTGTGACAACTCCTACTTTGTGTTAGATTCTTTATCTTTTAACCCCACACCTTTTTACCAACACCTGAGCATTCACTTCTCTTACAACCCCATGGTGACATCACACATCCTTGTCTAAGGCATACTTTTACTGGGAAATAATCTCCCTCTCTTCTACATACTCTGAGCCTCACTATCCTTGTAAAAACTCTTCAGTGCTTTCAGTAACCTACCTCCTATTCCATACATTTGCAACATCTGCCACACTGCCTCCCCATCCACCCTGTCATATGCCTTTTCCAAATCCACAAATGCCACAAAAGCCTGTGCTGTAAAAAATTAAACAGTATACAGTAATGTATAGGAAAAATTTAATGAAACTAACATGCAAAATATCAGTGCTTTTATGTATTAAATGAGCTCACACATGTCTGCATAGTGTATAAAATTTCAATAATAAATGTGGAAAAAACAAAAAAATACAGATTATTTTTTCTGCAGAAGATGGTAGAATAGCACCTGCTTTGTGTACAGCAACATTGTTAGTGCCAATAAGATTAGGTAAGATTTGTTCAGATTTTTAACCCAGAGGGTTAGCTACCCAGGATAACCCATAAGTCAGTGCACCATTGAGAACTGTTTCTTATTTCCATTGGGGTCCTTCAGTTTTGTCCCCCAGGATGTGGCCCACACCAGTCGACTAACACCCAGGTACCTACTTGCTGCTAGTTGAACAGGGACAGCTGGTGTAAGGAAACATGCCCAGTGTTTCCACTCAAGCTGGGAATTGAACCACAGACACTGTGTGAGGCATGTGTGTTGCCAACTTAGCCATGGGTCTTGCAGTTAGTACTACTGTGAGCTTCCTCTCCCTTGTAAAGCATTGTAGACCTGTCAGTGTTGTTCCAAGATATATTTGTAATGTAAATTTCTTAATTAACTCCATGAAATACTGACATAAAAGCTTTGATTTTGGATGTGTAAAGCCAGGGTAACATTGCACTCGTACAATTATAAAAATGATAAATACAGTATGCACCTGGAGAAGAGAGAAGTGTAGAGGAGAGAGAGAGATTCTGGGAAATGTTGAGTGAATGCGTGGGGAGTTTTGAATCAAGTGTGAGAGTAATGGTGGTTGGGGATTTCAATGCTAAAGTGGGTAAAAATGTTATGGAGGGAGTAGTAGGTAAATTTAGGGTGCCAGGGGTAAATGTAAATGGGGAGCCTTCAATTGAGCTATGTGTAGAAAGAAATTTGGTAATAAGTAATACATATTTTATGAAAAAGAGGATAAATAAATATACAAGGTATGATGTAGCACGTAATGAAAGTAATTTGTTAGATTATGTATTGGTGATGACACTGTGCTCTTAGGAGATTCTGAAGAGAAGTTGCAGAGATTGGTGGATGAATTTGGTAGGGTGTGCAAAAGAAGAAAATTAAAGGTGAATACAGGAAAGAGTAAGGTTATGAGGATAACAAAAAGATTAGGTGATGAAAGATTGAATATCAGATTGGAGGGAGAGAGTATGGAGGAGGTGAATGTATTCAGATATTTGGGAGTGGACGTGTCAGCGGATGGGTCTATGAAAGATGAGGTGAATCATAGAATTGATGAGGGAAAAAGAGTGAGTGGTGCACTTAGGAGTCTGTGGAGACAAAGAACTTTGTCCTTGGAGGCAAAGAGGGAAAATGTATGAGAGTATAGTTTTACCAACGCTCTTATATGGGTGTGAAGCATGGGTGATGAATGTTGCAGCGAGGAGAAGGCTGGAGGCAGTGGAGATGTCATGTCTGAGGGCAATGTGTGGTGTGAATATAATGCAGAGAATTCGTAGTTTGGAAGTTAGGAGGAGGTGCGGGATTACCAAAACTGTTGTCAGAGGGCTGAGGAAGGGTTGTTGAGGTGGTTCGGACATGTAGAGAGAATGGAGCGAAACAGAATGACTTCAAGAGTGTATCAGTCTGTAGTGGAAGGAAGGCGGGGTAGGGGTCGGCCTAGGAAAGGTTGGAGAGAGGGGGTAAAGGAGGTTTTGTGTGCTAGGGGCTTGGACTTCCAGCAGGTATGCATGAGCGTGTTTGATAGGAGTGAATGGAGACAAATGGTTTTTAATACTTGACGTGCTGTTGGAGTGTGAGCAAAGTAACATTTATGAAGGGGTTCAGGGAAACCGGCAGGCCGGACTTGAGTCCTGGAGATGGGAAGTACAGTGCATGCACTCTGAAGGAGGGGTGTTAATGTTGCAGTTTAAAAACTGTAGTGTAAAGCACCCTTCTGGCAAGACAGTGATGGAGTGAATGATGGTGAAAGTTTTTCTTTTTCGGGCCACCCTGCCTTGGTGGGAATCGGCCAGTGTGATAATAAAAATAAAAAATGTATTGGTGGATAAAAGGTTGATGGGTAGGCTCCAGGATGTACATGTTTATAGAGGGGCAACTGATATATCGGATCATTATTTAGTTGTAGCTACAGTTAGAGTAAGAGGTAGATGGGAAAAGAGGAAGGTGGCAACAACAAGTAAGAGGGAGGTGAAAGTGTATAAACTAAGGGAGGAGGAAGTTCGGGTGAGATATAAGCGACTATTGGCAGAAAGGTGGGCTAGTGCAAAGATGAGTAGTGGGGGGGGTTGAAGAGGGTTGGAATAGTTTTAAAAATGCAGTATTAGAATGTGGGGCAGAAGTTTGTGGTTATAGGAGGGTGGGGGCAGGAGGAAAGAGGAGTGACTGGTGGAATGATGAAGTAAAGGGTGTGATAAAAGAGAAAAAGGTAGCTTATGAGAGGTTTTTACAAAGCAGAAGTGTTATAAGAAGAGCAGAGTATATGGAGAGTAAAAGAAAGGTGAAGAGAGTGCAAAAGGAGAGCAGATGATAGAGGGGGAGAGGCACTGTCAAGAAATTTTAATGAAAATAAGAAAAAATTTTGGAGTGAGTTAAACAAGTTAAGAAAGCCTAGGGAAAGTATGGATTTGTCAGTTAAAAACAGAGTAGGGGAATTAGTAGATGGAGAAAGGGAGGTATTAGGTAGATAGCGAGAATATTTTGAGGAACTTTTAAATGTTGAGGAAGAAAGGGAGGCGGTAATTTCATGCACTGGCCAGGGAGGTATACCATCTTTTAGGAGTGAAGAAGAGCAGAATGTAAGTGTGGTGGAGGTACGTGAGGCATTACGTAGAATGAAATGGGGTAAAGCAGCTGGAACTGATGGGATCATGACAGAAATGTTAAAAGCAGGGGGGGATATAGTGTTGGAGTGGTTGGTACTTTTGTTTAATAAATATATGAAAGAGGGGAAGGTACCTAGGGATTGGCAGAGAGCATGTATAGTCCCTTTATATAAAGGGAAAAGGGACAGAAGAGATAGTAAAAATTATAGAGGAATAAGTTTACTGAGTATACCAGGAAAAGTATACAGTAGGGTTATAATTGAAAGAATTAGAGGCAAGACAGAATGTAGGATTGCGGATGAGCAGGGAGGCTTCAGAGTGGGTAGGGGATGTGTAGATCAAGTGTTTACATTGAAGCATATATGTGAACAGTATTTAGATAAAGGTAGGGAAGTTTTTATTGCATTTATGGATTTAGAAAAGGCATATGATAGTGGATAGAGGAGCAATGTGGCAGATGTTGCAAGTATATGGAATAGGTGGTAAGTTACTAAATGCTGTTAAGAGTTTTTATGATGATAGTGAGGCTCAGGTTAGGGTGTGTAGAAGAGAGAGAAAATACTTCCCGGTAAAAGTAGGTCTTAGACAGGGATGTGTAATGTCACCATGGTTGTTTAATATATTTATAGATGGGGTTGTAAAAGAAGTAAATGCTAGGGTGTTCGGGAGAGGGGTGGGATTAAATTATGGGGAATCAAATTCAAAATGGGAATTGACAGTTACTTTTTGCTGATGGTACTGTGCTTACGGGAGATTCTAAAGAAAAATTGCAAAGGTTAGTGGATGAGTTTGAGAATGTGTGTGAAGGTAGAAAGTTGAAAGTGAACATAGAAAAGAGTAAGGTGATGAGGGTATCAAATGATTTAGATAAAGAAAAATTGTATATCAAATTGGGGAGGAGGAGTTAGGGAAGAAGTGAATGTTTTCAGATACTTGGGAGTTGACGTGTCGGCGGATGGATTTATGAAAGATGAGGTTAATCATAGAATTGATGAGGGAAAAAAGGCGAGTGGTGCGTTGAGGTATATGTGGAGTCAAAAAACGTTATCTATGGAGGCAAAGAAGGGAATGTATGAAAGTATAGTAGTACCAACACTCTTATATGGATGTGAAGCTTGGGTGATAAATGCAGCAGCGAGGAGACGGTTGGAGGCAGTGGAGATATCCTGTCTAAGGGCAATGTGTGGTGTAAATATTATGCAGAAAATTCGGAGTGTGGAAATTAGGAGAAGGTGTGGAGTTAATAAAAGCATTAGTCAGAGGGCAGAAGAGGGGTTGTTGAGGTGGCTTGGTCATTTAGAGAGAATGGATCAAAGTAGAATGACATGGAAAGCATATAAATCTATAGGGGAAGGAAGGAGGGGTAGGGGTCGTCCTCGAAAGGGTTGGAAAGAGGGGGTAAAGGAGGTTTTGTGGGCGAGGGGCTTGGACTTCCAGCAAGCATGCATGAGCGTGTTAGATAGGAGTGAATGGAGACGAATGATACTTGGGACCTTACGATCTGTTGGAGTGTGAGCAGGGTAATATTTAGTGAAGGGATTCAGGGAAACCGGTTATTTTTATATAGCCGGACTTGAGTCCTGGAAATGGGAAGTACAATGCCTGCACTTTAAAGGAGGGGTTTGGGATATTGGCAGTTTGGAGGGATATGTTGTGTATCTTTATTCGTATATGCTTCTAAACTGTTGTATTCTGAGCACCTCTGCAAAAACAGTGATAATGTGTGAGTGTGGTGAAAGTGTTGAATGATGATGAAAGTATTTTCTTTTTGGGGATTTTCTTTCTTTTTTGGGTCACCCTGCCTCGGTGGGAGACGGCCGACTTGTTGAAAAAAAAAAAATACATTAATATTAACACTTAACTGTGTGGTAAATACAGTCATTCTAATTTGCCAAAATAACCACCAATATCAGTAAATTTTTCCTGTTTTGAAAGCGAACTAACATGGTGTGAGGTTAGGCATAAATTAAGATGAGAGAATGTCACTTATCCAGTAATTGCCACATTCTGAATATTTTTTTTTTTTTCAACAAGTCGGCCCCAAAAAAAAAAAGAAAATTCCCAAAAAGAAAATACTTTCATTATCATTCAACACTTTCGCATCACTCACACATAATCACTGTTTTTGCAGAGGTGCTCAGAATACAACAGTTTAGAAGTATATACATACGTATAAAAATACACAATATACCCCTCCAAACTGCCAATATCTCAAACCCCTCCTTCAGAGTACAGACATTGTACTTCCCATTTCCAGGACTCAAATCCGGTTATATAAAATAACCGGTTTCCCTGAATCCCTTCACTAAATATTACCCTACTCACACTCCAACAGCTTGTCAGGTCCCAAATACCATTTGTCTCCATTCGCTCCTATCGAACACACTCACACACACTTGCTGGAAGTCCAAGCCCCTCGCCTACAACACCACCTTTACCCCCTCCCTCCAGCCTTTTCGAGGACAACCCCTACCCCGCCTTCCTTCCCCTACAGATTTATATGCTCTCCATGTCATTCTACTTTGATCCATTCTCTCTAAATGACCAAACCACCTCAACAACCCCTCTTCAGCCCTCTGACTAATACAGTGGACCCCCAGTTAACGATATTTTTTCACTCCAGAAGTATGTTCAGGTGCCAGTACTGACCGAATTTGTTCCCATAAGGAATATTGTGAAGTAGATTAATCCATTTGAGACCCCCAAACATACATGTTCAAACGCACTTACATAAATACACTTACATAATTGGCTGCATTCGGAGGTGATCATTATGCGGGGGTCCACTGTACGTACTTTTATTAACTCCACACCTTCTCCTAATTTCCACACTCTGAATTTTCTGCATAATATTTACACCACACATTGCTCTTAGACAGGACATCTCCACTGCCTCCAACCGTCTCCTCGCTGCTGCATTCACAACCCAAGCTTCACACCCATATAAGAGTGTTGGTACTACTATACTTTCATACATTCCCTTCTTTGCCTCCATAGATAACATTTTTTGCCTCCACATGCATACGCATTCACATATGTACGTATATTCACATTTTTTTTATTTTTTAGATGATTATAGGTAATGAGTTAGGCAAAATTATTGCATAATTATAATTAACTGTAGATGAAGTGAGTATAAATGGTTTAGAAAACTGACAAGTTGATAAATAAGACACTTGTGCAATGTTTGGGTATCTTTATTCTGGAAACTTTTCACCATACAGTGGCTTCTTCAGTCCAGTGCTGAGAAAGGTGTAAGATAAGGGACTGATTTCCTCAAACTCTTCCTCATCTTCCACCTTTCTCTGTATTGGACTGAAGAAGCCACTGCATGGCAAAATGTTTCAGAATAAAAATTCACAAATGTTGCACAAGCGTCTCATTTATCAACAATAGGTGGGTGTAACTAATGAAAGGTGTAACCATGTTTCTCCCAGTGGCTTTCAGTTTGGTTCACAGTTCATGTTATTCCCCTGTCAGCTAGTCTTACTTAATTCATATTAGTGTATAATCAGTTTCAGCTGCCCCAACATCGCTTTTTCTATTTTTTCCAAACAGATCCAGGCTATTTTAAATCTTCCTACATGTACAAGATTTTTTATATAATTGCTGTTACATCTTTGACTCGTCACGTCTATTACACTGCCTGGCTTCTTGGGGACAGCATATGCAACATGTCCGGCATGGGATTCAATGGCTACAACAAAGATGGATCCGCCAAGTGGGATTTAGTATCAAATGTTAACATCGTGATTATGGAGGTAGGTGTTGCCAGTTGAATAATTTATGTTGCTTATTATATTGTAATTATAAGGCATCTTTCTTGGGGATTTTCCTAGATTAGAATTCCAAAAGTAAGAGTGGGTGTGAGTTGGACTTGCCTAGCATGGGCCAGTAGATTTGCAGCAGTGCTCCTTCCTTCCTGTGTTCTTAAGTTACTTTTTTTTTTTTTTTTTTTTTTTTTTTTTTTTTAACATGCTGGCCATCTTCCACCAAGGTAGGGTGACCCACAAAGATAGAAAAACCCAAAAAGAGAGGAAAAAACTTTCATCATTCAACACTTTCACCATCACTCATACATAATCACTGTCTTTGCAGAGGCGCCCAGATACAACAGTTCAGATGTCCCCCAAAACTGCCAATATCCCAAATTCCTCCTTTATAGTGCAGGCATTGTACTTCCCATTTCCAGGACTCAAGTCTGGCTAACTGGTTTCCCTGAATCCCTTCACAAATATTACCTTGCTCACACTCCAACACCTCGTCAGGCCCCAAAAACCATTCATCTCCTTTCACTCCTATCTAACACACGCGCAAAAATTTTGCTTGAATGCCTTTCATCCGCCACTTCATTACTTTCAGAATCGTCACTTTGAAATGAATCTCTTGACTGAGACTTGGTTACACACCTTGCCCATAACCACCTGTTCACAGGTGCACCTGCCCCCATCCTTTCCATAATTACTTGTTTGTTGGTTTCTATTGTAGTGAATTTGTGTATGTGGTTGAGGGTGTGTTTGTACTCACCCTCACCTGTTTGAGGTTGCAAGGGTTGGTTCTTAGATTTTGGCTCTGCGTGATTGTGTATGTGTGTGTACTCACCTAATTGTGGTTGCAGGGGTCGAGACTCAGCTCCTGTGTGTGTGTGTGTACTCACCTAGTTGTACTCACCTAGTTGAGGTTGCGGGGGTCGAGTCCGAGCTCCTGGCCCCGCCTCTTCACTGATCGCTACTAGTGTGTGTGTGTGTGTGTGTGTGTGTGTGTGTGTGTGTGTGTGTGTGTGTGTTTGTTTGTTTTTGGCAAAGTGCTCAGGAAACGTCAATGTCATCAATAGCAGTTCCCAGAATGTGACTGGCAACAGCTGACTAACACAGACACCTGCAGCTACATGGTCTATCACTGAAATATATTGAAAAAAATATTTTAACACGCTGGCCATCTCCCACTCATTCACACTATCACTGTCTTCCCAGAAGTGCACAGATATGACTATTAAGATGTCACTCCAAACCCTCCTTTAGAGTGCAGATACTAGTAGTTATTACACTCCAGTACTGCTGTTATGCTTATCTTTTTTTTTTTTTTTTTTTCCTTTTTTTTTTTAACAAGTTGGCCGTCTCCCACTGAGGCAGTAGTAGGGTTATAAGGAGTCACCAGCTGTACTGTGGATCTTGTCACATTTGCACCCAATTTTTCTGTTTCATGGGTAGTGCCTTTACCTTTTATAAACCTTTGAAGAGTTTCAGGGTTCCAAGAGTAGTGAAACTTTGGAAACTATATCAAAGGTATAGGTACCACCCATGACTCATTTTTCTGTTACAGTATTAACAGCTGCGACTCAATTTTGCCTTTTTATTCTCAAAATGTACAGAGTATAGTCTTCACTTCTTAACACATTTGTTGCCCTCATTTTCTTTAATTCTGAATACGTAATGTGGTAGTCCCTGTAATACTTCCCTGTATCTTCCCATTCCTGTATAATTTGAGCTTGTTCTATGAGACAACTTGCCATATAGTTTACCAATCCTGTTTTCTTATAGCCATTTACACCATTATGTAGTACTGTACACAAATAAACCACTCGTAGGAGAAAGAAACTTATGACTACGTACATTCAGTCCGACTTGGAAACATTAACTAGTCACAGTGTGTGACTAGTTAATGGTCCAAGTCAAACCAAAATGTCAACATAAGTTTTTCTCCTATGTGTGGATTATTTGTGTATTGTTCCAGGGGGTTAGGGGCGCTGACCACCCATGCAGTTGAAAATCCGCGTACAACTTTTGACTCCTCAAAAACTTTACTAATGGCCTGCTGTTGACCAGAACCCTTACTGATAACATAAACAGTCAATTAACACACATTTTGTATGTTGTTAAGAAAATCATAAGGAAGAGAAAATACATTTTCAGTATTTACAGTACTGTACTTTATTTATCGATACCATAAGTGTATGTCGTTTGTTTACAAAATGAGTCGTCTGTCTGTCAGCACCTACATCTTGTATGATACAAAAACATTGTAGATGCTATACATAGTACTAACACTAGACATCAAAAATGTAAAGATAATGTGAAAAAAATATTCATATTTATGATTTAATGAGGCATCTTTGTTTACATTTCTCTCGACTGTGAATGGAACTTGTACGGTCTTTAATAACAATACACTATACTATTATTATTATTATTATTATTATTGTATCTTTATATTTCTTTACATTTCTCTCAACTGAGAATGGAACATGTATGATCTTTAACCCTTTGAGGGTTTCGGCCGTATAGTGGACCCCCGCTTTACGATCAGCTCCCAATGCGACAAGTGTATTTATGTGAGTCCGTTTGTACGTGTATGTTTGGGGGTCTGAAATGGACCAACCTAATTCACAATATTCCTTATGGGAACAAATTCGTTCAGTAATGGCACCTGAACATAATTCTGGAATGAAATAATATCGTAAGCCGGGGGTCCACTGTACTAGTACTGCTTACGACCCAGGGTTTTTGACGTACTTGTACGCCTAAATTCTAGCGCCCTCAAATCTAGTGGGAGAAAGCTGGTAGGCCTACATATGAAAGAATGGGTCTATGTGGACAGTGTGCACAGTATAAAAAAAAATCCTGCAGCACACGGTGCATAATGAGAAAAAAAACTTTGACCGTGTTTTTGGAATAAAACAGCGACTTTGCACTGTATTTTCGTATGGTATTTATTGTTGTATTCTAGTTTTCTTGGTCTCATTTTATAGAATGGAAGACATTACAGAAATTGAGATGATTTTGACTGGTTTTACAATGAAAAGTACCTTGAAATTGAGCTCAAAGTAGCAGAAATGTTCGAGTTTTACCAAAGTTCAAAAGTAAACAAATCATGCCAAGCGTCCAATACACGTCAACTGGTGAGTCTAATATTCTTTCACAAGTGCGCTGATATTATTTATACCATTTCTACACTAATGCAGTAGTCTGCATAACAGTAAATCTATTTTTTGTAAGAATAAAAATTGAAAGTGGAAGGCCAAAGAAATATAAGAGAGGCCTGGGGATGTGACTAACGAACAGAGGAAATGTTATTTTAGTGCCAGGAATGTCTTTCTTGATTATTCTGGACCCTATTTGGAAAATGGCATCTTTTGAAATTTGTGTGAAATTGGCAAAATTGCTAAATTCTGACCACTGTATTGGATAGTTGAAATAAGTAAATGGGTGGTTTCTTGTACTCATTCAATAGAAAAAAATGGAGTTCTAGAGAAATAGTTATGATTTTTGTCGACTAGTACACAGGAATTGGCCGAAAATAGGGCTCAAAGTGGGCAAAATCGCCGATGCGTAAACATCGTCAAGACCGCTAACTTTGCGAGAGCATAATTCTGTAAGTTTTCCATCAAATTTCATACTTTTGGTGTCATTATGATCGGGAAAAGATTCTCTATCTTTTCATTAGATTTCTTTTTTTTTTTTTTTTTTAAATTTGGACGACCCTGAGAACAAGTCTTGGAGAGGGCCTGTCGACCCTCAAAGGGTTAATAATATATTATTATTGTTATTATTATTCTCCTTTCAACAAACCGGACGTATCCCACCAAGGCAGGGTGACCCAAAAAGAAAAACAAAAGTTTCTCTTTTCAAATTTAGTAATTTTTACAGGAGAAGGGATTACTAGCCCCTTGCTCTCAGCATTTTAGTCGCTTCTTACAACACGCATGGCTTACGGAGGAAGAATTCTGTTCCACTTCCCCATGGAGATAAGAGGAAATGAACAAGAACTAGAAAGAAAATAGCAGAAAACCCAGATGGGTGTGTGTGTATATATATGCTTGTACATTTATGTGTAATGTGACCTAAGTGTAAGTAGAAGTAGCAAGACGTACCTGAAATCTTGCATGTTCATGAGACAGAAAAAAGACACCAGCAATCCTACCATCATGTAAAACAATTACAGGCTTTCATTTTACAATCACTTGGCAGGACGGTAGTACCTCCCTGGGCGGTTGCTGTCTACCAACCTACTACCTAGATTTTTTTTTTTTTTTCAACAAGTCGGCAGTCTCCCACCGAGGCAGGGTGACCCAAAAAAGAAAGAAAATCCCCAAAAAGAAAATACTTTCATCATCATTCAACACTTTCACCACACTCACACATTATCACTGTTTTTGCAGAGGTGCTCAGAATACAACAGTTTAGAAGCATACACATATAAAGATACACAACATATCCCTCCAACCTGCCAATTTCTCAAACCCCTCCTTTAAAGTGCAGGCATTGTACTTCCCATTTCCAGGACTCAAGTCCGACTATATGAAAATAACCGGTTTCCCTGAATCCCTTCACTAAATATTACCCTGCTCACACTCCAACAGATCGTCAGGTCCCAAGTACCATTCGTCTCCATTCACTCCTATCTAACACGCTCACGCACGCTTGCTGGAAGTCCAAGCCCCTTGCCCACAAAACTCCTTTACCCCCTCTCTCCAACCCTTTCGAGGACGACCCCTACCCCGCCTTCCTTCCCCTATAGATTTATATGCTTTCCATGTCATTCTACTTTGATCCATTCTCTCTAAATGACCAAACCACCTCAACAACCCCTCTTCTGCCCTCTGACTAATACTTTTATTAACTCCACATCTTTTCCTAATTTCCACACTCCGAATTTTCTGCATAATATTTACACCACACATTGCCCTTAGACAGGACATCTCCACTCCCTCCAACCATCTCCTCGCTGCAGCATTCACAACCCAAGCTTCACACCCATATAAGAGTGTTGGTACTATTATACTTTCATACATTCATATATTTCATATATTGTTATTATTATGGTATATTATTATTGTATTATTGCATCTTTGTTAGTTTACATTTCTCTCAACTGTGATTGGCACCTTGTACGATCTGTAATTATTTGTGTGCCTAAGTTCTGATAAATTTTAACTTTAAAATACATAGATTTGTTTATATTTTATGGTAGTAAATGATAAAATAGATTAGTATGTACATATATTTTATGTATTGTGACATACCTAATATTTTTCTTAAATATCCAAAAAAAATTCCAATGTGTTCATTAAAAAAATCCACCTATAAGTGGGCTTGCACAGTTCAAAACTATGTTGCTCAAGGGTCAACTGTACTTTATTGCTCCTTCCTTGTGTTCCATACATTTGTCTGGTAATCACTTGATAGTGTCTGGCCCTTTCCTACCATGTCATCATATACTTATTTTTTGTTTATTGTTTATAAGATCTTAATTAGATATAAAATTCTTTTTGGAAGACTGGACTGAGCCTTAGAGAGACCATTGAGGCATGGAACAGTGGAACAATGAAGTGGTTACGCTTCATGGTGTACGAGCGTGCTACTGTGCAGAAAACACTCTTCACCTACATGCTGTCATCTGTGTGGCATGGGTTCTACCCTGGATATTATATCACCTTTGTCAGTGGAGCCTTCTTCACTATTGCTGCCAGATATGTGAGTATTGCAAATTTATTTTGCTCTAGCTGTAAATTTATCATTTATGATGGTATCGCTTATCAAGGCAAATTTCTTGTGGACTTTGCATAATTATAAAACTGTGTGCTACAACATTCATAAAGATATTATTTTTCCAACTTGGATGAAAATTAAATTATGCATAATTCCAAATTATATTACAGGTACGGCGGTGTGTGCGTCACAGGGTGATGGCTCGAGGACCAAGAGCAAAGTTGGTCTACGACTTTATCACCTGCATCAGCACACGCTTGTGTCTTGCCTATTTCACCTTTCCCTTTATTCTTCTGAGATTCTGGGGAAGCATTGCTGTTTACAGGTGAAACATTATAATTTTTTCTCTTCTTTAAGATTAGAATGTTGAACTACATTATTCATCTTGGTTTCCTTCTAATTTCTTCATAGTTCTTACCATCATTTTGTTGCCTTTTAGTGTTGTGAACGAGTAGGTTAGAATCCTTCCTTCATAAGCAGTGTGTGTCACAGAAGGTGACTAAAATGCTAAGACCAAGAGACAGATTTGGGCATGGGAAATCAATGAGCATGTTTTGAATGAAATCCTATAGATGGTTTTCATTGCAAATCTTGTGCCAAGTGAGAAGAATATGGGAACCCAGCCAGACAAACATGGGTTGTGCTGATGCTATGGCAAGACTGTGGCAAAGAGTAGTGAGGAGATATACATTCACAAGCTCATAACTTGTATACTTCACCCCAGAAACGGGGTGCGTGTGTGGTAAGCTCATGTATTTTTGGTAAACATTGTTCAAGAAATGTGAGATTTGGAAACTTTGAACATATCCCAGTTTTGTATATTACATCAGATTTTCTTTATGCGATTTTGCTGTATACGCCATGTACTGACCCTTGTATAAAGCTAGGGACTCCTGTATTTTGGGTAAAAGATGGGGTAAAATAATGATGAAGACTTGCAAGTTGCATTTATTGAGCAAGTAGCTAAAGAACTGCATCTTGGTGACATGGTTATGTTAGCGATTGAATATCCAACCGTTTTGAGTAGGCATGTGTTAAAGTTTCAGTATTGGTTAATTGTGGTAGTATCAGCATTGGTTTAAAATTGAGTGTTGTAAATGGTGGGTATTGGCTAATTTTGACTATATTGGTATCAGCCTATTATTGAATATTGTTATTGGCAAAAATTTTGGTATTGTTCCATCCCTAATTTACAGACATGTCAAAATGAACCTTATAGGTAATGGCAAATTAATTTACTGTTAACGTTATCTAAAAATCTTAGATTGTCTTCACACTTTGCTCCTGAGTGTGTTATCACTTTATGATCACATTTGTGAAAATAATTTTCAAAATCCTTGTAAGGTACATCTGCCTTTTTTGTTTTTTCTAATTTTGTTATAATAGTTTAGATATTGTGTGGAAAAAAATAGTAAATATGATGATTAAATGAAAATATTGTTTATTAAAGGTTATGCTGCCAAGGTAAATTGATTCATGTAGCAAGATGTAAAATAAATATCACTGTTGTCACACCAGACCAATTCAGTAAATACAGTGGACCCGCATAACGATATTAATCCGTTCCTGAGAGCTCATTGTTATGCGAAATTATCGTTATACGAATGAATTTTTCCCATAAGAAATAATGGAAATCAAATTAATCCGTGCAAGACACCCAAAAGTATGAAAAAAATTTTTACCACATGAAATATACATTTTCCTACACACAAAGAGAAGGATACATGCACAATAGTAGAGTAGTACATGCACAGTATATATTGTGCATGTACTACTCTACTAAATGAAGAATAAATGACACTTACCTTTATTGAAGATGCAGTAATGACTGATGAGACACTGTGTCCTGGGAGTGCCTTTTCCTCCTGAGTACTGTAGGTCCTGTTTGGCATTTTCTTCCAGAACAGGCCTTATCACACTGTGTATGCCACTACGATTCTTAAATCTCTCAAACCAACCTTTGCTGGCTTTAAATTCACCAATATGAGCACTAGTTCCAGGCATTTTTCCCTGTTCACCTGGGTGTTAATTGACTGGTGTGGGTTGCATCCTGGGAGACAAGATTAAGGACCCCAATGGAAATAAGTTAGACAGTCTTCGATGACACTGACTTTTTTGGGTTATCCTGGGTGGCTAACCCTCTGGGGTTAATTGTTTCTTGGTATTCTCAATAAGCCACACCAACAACGGTGCTGCAGCAGCAGCAGCATCTGACAGTGCTACAGCAGCAGCTGACAGTGCTACAGCAGCAGCAGACGGTACTACAGCAGCAGCAGCTGACGGTGGTACAGCAGCAGCAGCTGACAGTGCTACAGCAGCAGCTGACAGTGCTACAGCAGCAGCTGACAGTGCTACAGCAGCAGCTGACGGTGCTACAGCAGCAGCTGACGGTGCTACAGCAGCAGCTGACGGTGCTACAGCAGCAGCTGACGGTGCTACAGCAGCAGCAGACGGTACTACAGCAGCAGCAGCTGATGGTGCTACAGCAGCAGCAGCTGATGGTGCTACAGCAGCAGCAGCAGCTGATGGTGCTACAGCAGCAGCAGCAGCTGATGGTGCTACAGCAGCAGCAGCAGCTGATGGTGCTACAGCAGCAGCAGCAGCTGACAGTGCAGCAGCAGCAGCAGCTGACAGTGCAGCAGCAGCAGCAGCAGCTGACAGTGCTACAGCAGCAGCAGATGGTACTACAGCAGCAGCAGCAGCCGACGGTGGTACAGCAGCAGCTGACGGTGGTGCAGCAGCAGCAGCAGCCGACGGTGGTACAGCAGCAGCTGACGGTGGTGCAGCAGCAGCAGCAGCAGCAGCTGAAAATGCTACAGCAGCAGCAGCAGCTGAAAATGCTACAGCAGCAGCAGCAGCTGAAAATGCTACAGCAGCAGCAGCAGCAGCTGAAAGTGCTACAGCAGCAGCAGCAGCAGCAGCTGACAGTGCTACAGCAGCAGCAGCATCAGCAGTTGACCATGGTACCACAGTAGTATTTCGATAATATTTCTCGCCCTTTTTACCACAGGGTTGGCACTAGAAGCTTTCTTGGGGCCCATGATCACTTATTTTGCAGATAAAATAAAAAACGCTGTAATACGAAATGTTCCGATTGTATGCTTGGATGTTACCGCGGAGGCTGGCTTGTAAACAATGCCACCAGCGGAACATGTGAGGCTGGCTCAGGCGTCTCAGACGAATAGCGTTGAGCAGGTTTTTTAGCGGTATGCGAGGCAAAATCTTAGCGATAAAATGTATAGGTATGCGGATTTAACGTTATGTGATGCCAACGGTATGTGGGGGTCCACTGTAGTTTTAACATTTTAGAAGCAAGCGTTCATCTCTATTCTTCATACAGTACTGTATTTAACTTAAGAATAAACTGTCAGGATAAACTGCTACACAAACTTTATTTAATTTTTTTTTTTAACAAGTCGGCTGTCTCCCACCGAGGCAGGGTGACCCAAAAAGAAAGAAAATCAACAAAAAGAAAATACTTTCATCATCATTCAACACTTTCACCACACTCACACATAATCACTGTTTTTGCAGAGGTACTCAGAATACAACAGTTTAGAAGCATATACGTATAAAGATACACAACATATCCCACCAAACTGCCAATATCCTGAACCCTTCCTTTAGAGTGCATTCATTGTACTTCCCATTTCCAGGACTCAAGTCCGGCTATATAAAAATAACCGGTTTCCCTGAATCCCTTCACTAAATATTACCCTGCTCACACTCCAACAGATCATCAGATCCCAAATACTATTCATCTCCATTCACTCGTATCAGACACGCTCACGCATGCCTGCTGGAAGTCCAAGCCCCTCGCCCACAAAACCTCCCTTACCCCTTCCTTCCAACCTTTTCAAGGATGACCCCTACCCCGCCTTCCTTCCCCTACAGATTTCAATGCTCTCCTTGTCATTCTACTTTGATTCATTTTCTCTAAATGACCAAACCACCTCAACAACCCCTCTTCAGCCCTCTGACTAATACTTTTATTAACTCCACACCTCTGAATTTTCTGCATAATATTTACACCACACATTGCCCTTAGACAGAACATCTCCACTGCCTCCAACCGCCTCCTCGCTGCTGCATTCACAACCCAAGCTTCACACCCATATAAAAGTGTTGGTACTGCTATACTTTCATACATTCCCTTCTTTGCCTCCATAGATAACGTTTTTTATCTCCACATATACCTCAACGCACCACTCGCCTTTTTTCCCTCATCAATTCTATGATTAACCTCATCCTTCATAAATCCACCTGCCAACACGTCAGCTCCCAAGTACATATCTGAAAGCATTCACTTCTTCCATACTCCTCCCCAATTTGATATCCAATTTTCCTTTATCTAAATCATTTGATACCCTCATCACCTTACTCTTTTCTATGTTCACTTTCAACTTTATACACACACACTCAAACTAGTCCACTAACCTTTGCAGTTTTTCTTTAGAATTTTCCCGTAATCATAGTATTATCAGCAAAAAGCAACTGTGTCAATTCCCATTTTGTATTTGATTCCCCATAATTTAATCCCACCCCACTCCCAAACACCCTAGCATTTACTTTATATATTCAGGAAAGTCTGACAGTGTGTATTGTTCAAGTCTGTGTTGTTTTATTGGATGAAAGGTATAAATTGGTATACCCTGGTCCTCCCACTTAAGCCTGTGTTGTTTCATTTACTGCATTGTGCATTTTTCCTCTTAAATGCAAAGAAGCTGTTGGATGAGACTGATAAATCTATAATTCAGGCACTAAATAAGCTTTCAGAAATTGATCAGAGATGACATATTAGATATTAATGTAGATATTAATATTCTATAAATGTATAAATGTATAAATTCAAGGATTATGTGGAGTAAAATAAAGATTGGATGTGAAAAGTGGGTTATAGTAAGCGTGTATGCACCTGGAGAAGAGAGAAGTGTAGAGGAGAGAGAGAGATTTTGGGAAATGTTGAGTGAATGCGTGGGGAGTTTTGAATCAAGTGTGAGAGTAATGGCGGTTGGGGATTTCAATGCTAAAGTGGGTAAAAATGTTATGGAGGGAGTAGTAGGTAAATTTGGTGTGCCAGGGGTAAATGTAAATGGGGAGCCTTTAATTGAGCTATGTGTAGAAAGAGATTTGGTAATAAGTAATACATATTTTATGAAAAAGAGGATAAATAAATATACAAGGTATGATGTAGCACATAATGAAAGTAGTTTGTTAGATTATGTATTGGTGGATAAAAGGTTGATGGGTAGGCTCCAGGATATACATGTTTATAGAGGGGCAACTGATATATCGGATCATTATTTAGTTGTAGCTACAGTTAGA